TATATATATATATATATATATATATATATATATATATATATAAAATTACGAGAGAGAAAGAGAGAGAGAGATATCGCGCTATATATTATCTTTTTCTAATACAAATTAATGTTTTAGGGATAATATCAAATTAATTACTTTTTTTATTTTGTGATTTTAATTAGTAAAAATAACGTTTTAAAAAAAATAGATATTTTAAAATTACAATTTTTATTATTAGTATAAAATTAAATTATTATTACAAAATATAATATCTTTTTTTAGATATACAAATTTAAATACAAAATACGTGTGACGTTCCGTAATCTTTACTTCTGCTCTTTTTACTATCACAAACTATCACGGAACTTAATAGATCCTCCTTCGCAATGTGATATAATTATTTAATGGTCTCTAACGAAAAAATTTAGAAATATTTGTATGATTTTGTTAGTGTGTATAAAATAATTCATGTTATTATTATTGTTTTTATTATATAATTGAAATGTTATATGGTTAGATATTCTACATGTCTGTACAGATTGTCATCTCTTATAATAAGAAAATAGGACGAGTATGTATTGTGTGGACGGCACATGTGCGAATAAGTAGTACAAATAGCGCGCGCGTATAAAAGTGTTTCCATTTAATTTCAAAAAAATTATTTCTTAGGATATAACTTTATCTTATATAATTAGATTCAACGTAAACTACTATTTCATCGCGATATTCCTGTACGTTTCCTTGTAAATAAGATATCAATATAACATTTTCTTAAGGTTGTATAGTGGCGAAAAGGAGGGACATATTTTAATAAAAAAAGAAAACTTGACCTATTACTTTGTTCATTCAATCAATGGCAAGTTACGTTGATTTTTGTAAATAGAATAATATAGTTATTTTACATAAATCAATTCTTCAAGTTAATGTGCGTACTGAAATAAACTTATAAAAAAAGTAAATACTTCCGAAATATTTGACATTTTATCCTAGTGTTATAATATAAAATATGAAATATCTTGTATTTACTTTTCGGTAACCTCATCTTAATCTAATACTTTTGTACGAAGATAATAGGAATCGATTGTTGTATAAAAATATAGATAAACTTTAACAAAAATTTCGTTATCTTATAGATATATTGCGTGCAAAGACTAGTATCATTAATCGGTTCTCAAGAGATATAAAGATATCACTGGTCGACACCATTTTGGCCTTAAAAGTAAATGCAGTTGTTCCAACTAGGTTTTGACGTGCTAATTACGAATCTGACCCCCAAAATGTCGTATCACGTCAAATTTTTTAGATATTTAAACTTAGAAGTGCAAAAAATGAGGTTTTTGACAATTTTCAATGACTTATAAAATCTCTAATAATTTTTTTTCAGTATTTCGGAAACTATCACATTAAAGTGCTATTCTTACTATTCCCAACGCATATTTATTTGTTATGATATGACTTTTTTTCGCTAATATAAAACAAATTGAAATTATTAGTTTTTCGAGAACGTAACACTGGTTTAGCAATGTCAAAAATAGTAAGTGAGAATATTTGAAAAAATTCAAGAATTTCAGAATAATCTATGAAACTTTGATATATTTATTCCACATTTTCAATTGTTTTTCTAAAATTTAGTATTTTCTCTTCTGAAATTTATATTTCTAACACATTTATCGAAAAATGTGTATCAGGATAAAATATAAAATATCTCGGGAAGTATTTATGTTTTAGTAATCTTATTCCAATATTTTTATACTCAGAATGATCCTAAAAGAATTGATTTTTATATTTAAAAACCCATATGATTCCATTTAAAAAAGTTGAAGTTGATATTGCAATGTATTTTAAATAAATTTTTTATTGACGCAGTTATCATCTTGCTCATAATTTTACAACTTTCGTCTGAAATATTTTTCAAAAAACGTTTACTTTTCAAAATATTTGAGTATTAAAAATAAAACGAGATATTACATGTATGTCTATGTTTGTGTACATACGTATTTATATATACAATCAGATAATATAAAAATAAACGCTTCTATTTTGCAATACAACTTTTGCATAATAGTTTCATCAAAGAAATTACATATATACATCTATTTTTATACACAACATAAATAAAAAATTCAATAATGATAATATCGATTTAGTATATAATTTTGTGTATTTAAAGATATTGTTAAGTTACTTTATGTGGAGATAGACATTGCGGATATTATAGCAAAAGTATCAAGAACTAAACTTTGTAATATATAGATAGTAGTATACTACAAAAATCAATATCGTAAGATGAGGTTACTTTGTGACTGTAGAGTGACTGTATTGATCAATAGTGATAATTATCACTATTGACCAATATTCACTGTGTCACAAAGTAAACCCTACAGTCTCAAAGTAACCCCATTTTACGGTAATCGAATAAGTACAGGAACAGCAAAGATAAATATAATCTTGTTAATCCGTGTATTTTCATGAAAGAAACATGCAGTGTAATCGTTAGAGATTAGTAATTGTTGAAAAACATTTGATTAAATTTCTCGTTGCATGCAAAACCTTAAATATTGTTTATAAAGAAAAAAAAGTAAAAATTGCTCGAAACATTTTTTACACGCAATTTAGCCGTGATCATCCATGCATATCACGTTTACACACATTCACATCCAGAAATATTACTTCGTAAAAGCATAACTAAATCGCATACTAATATATAAGTCGAATATATTATAATAAATATAAATATTAATTGCACATTATTTTTCCAGAGTGCAATATTTGTGACAGACAATAGTATAACATGAAACAAAGAAATAAATGCCATTTCTTCGACTGAAAAATGTAATAAGCGTATTTTTCTAATAAGAGAATCGTCCGAATTGTCTTTCATCGATTTTTATGGGTTTTGGATATGTTAAAAAACAGCAAAAAATATTAGAACCATATTTTTTTATGTGTTAATCTCGGCATTTAGAAGTTAAAACTTCTCGGAAATAACAAATTTTTTTAGTTTTTAACAAATACCTTCGAAAATATGAGATATAAAAAAAATTATTTATGGGAAGGTTTATTTGACGCTTTTTATAATAATATAATCAAATTTTTTAAAATATCTACTTTCTAAAATATCTATTTTTCTATGTACTTTTCTTCCTATTATTTTTATAGATCTTAAAAATTTAATTTAAATAAAAATTAGAGTATATTTTTGTATATTAAATAAATCTATATATAATGATATATTTACCCGATTATATTTTTAGGAAAATGCAATAGTGACTTTGTATTATAGGCGCCAATGCAATATGCTACACTATGCACTATGTTATTTCTTTTTTGCTACATGACATTTACACATCCAATAACTGCTTATTCTATGCATATTGTCCCACACTACAGGATAAATACAAATTATTCTTAATTATGTCATATGCAACTTGAGTAGAAATATATTGCGTAGATATATGTTCTAATGCATTCTCAGTAGTTGTAAGAATACTTTGTAGGAACTAAACAAGAATTTGATACAGTTTTATTGAATGGTTGAAGCAATTTACTGTACAATATGTGGGTTTCTTTCTTCAATTCTTTTCAAGACATAGTATTAGCAACATTAATTCAGTTTTATAATGTGTACGTATCTCATATTTATTATCAATACATTTATTTATATTGCTAAAAAAAAGCTTAAAATTCTGTGAACAAGAGAACGTATAGAGCGAACGTGTAGAAAACAGAGCAAGAAAAAAAAATTGAACGAAATAAGACAATATTAAACTTTGTAATAGAAGAATGACGCAATTGAGTTTTCCCAAAAATCCAATCGGATAACAAATATCATATTATTATAGACAGATAAAAATTTTTACATCTACAAAAAAAACGAAGAGGAATAAATAAAAAAATTTGATATTTTTGAAAAATCTGAATGTAATATTATGAAGATATATATTATCAAATACCATATAACTTCCTTATATAAATCATTTTTTACATACTTCATACTTTCGAAGATATTCGCTGGAAATAAAAAGAAACTCGTTATTTTCAAAAGTTAGTTTCAACTCCTAAATGTCAAGATAGGCATATAGGTTTAATATTTTTTTACTGTGATACAATATTTCTAAAGTCCGTTAAAATCGGCGAGGGATATTTCCGACGGTTCTATAATGTGGAAAAAATATTTAAATAAGATAAAGAAATAAAATTCCATAAATACAATTTTATCGATACACACTAAATGAAAATTCATAGGTTTGTATTGGAGCGTATACCTGCTCGGGCAATTGTTCTTTATTCCTCGCAAATGGCATTGAAGTTTCTTTATTTCCGTCAATATCATTTCCTCCGCTTCCTTTGCTTTTGTTTCTCGTATCTTCTTTGTTTTTTTTTTCCTTAGCCTCTTTTGCGTTATATTTCTTGGACTTTCCGTTCAGAGAAACACTCTCCTTCTCTTTCGCGTTATCAAATTTCTCACTCGTCATTATATTCTGCTTATTTTGCATGTTGCATACATCCACGGCTTCTTTATTAGTTTTCGTGTTTCTAGATTGGTACTTAGAACGTTTCGCATTTTCATTCGATTCGTTTTCAAAAGCTAGCGATTTGTTATCCTTAGATTTCTCGGCTTTAGACTTCAGAGTGTTAGTATTTATTAAATCTTGGCACTTATCGGTTATAGAATTGTCACATTTAAGCGTGCAGCCTCCCGAAACCTTACGAGACACCACCTTAAAACATGTTCCAAGCTATGCAAATGTAAATTAATATATTTCAAATAATGCGGCAAGCAAAAGTGAAATCGATTCTCTTGTGCAATTAATATAATATAGGGCATCTAATAAAAGCATACAATCTATAATTAAACGTCTTAATGTAATAATGTGCAGTGTTTGAATATGTTGAATATGTTGATACATGTAAACATTAGACTATATGTTATGTATACTTTAATATAACTTTAACTATTATTAAGACAGAAATATAGACAAAAAACAATCACATTAGTCATAAATTGTTTTATCGATTATCAAAGATCTTAAAAATTTCAGCTTATAAATAAAATTCAGACATCGAACTGAGAAAAGGTTCGACTCTTTTTCTATTATATATTGTAATTTTTCTCAACATTTTTTAAAAGCGTTATTCGAACAAACGACAAATGTTATTTTCTTATCACCAGATATTCCCGCATAAGTGTGTCAGAGATGTTAGTTTTACACGGTAGGATGCAAATGCGATACAAGAACACAAGAAAATGAAATATGCATGTCAGCTGCGGACGTTAGGGCCAGGACTAGTAGAATCTAGGACTTATTCACAAATACACTCTCAAAGGACATGAACGAAAATGATCACCCTCGATGTTACTTAAGATTCGCAGTTACTGAAGACACCAAGACATTCTTCATCAAGAGGCCCGTATGTATACAGAGTCCGCCAAAAGTTCCGGAACGGTTAATTATCTTAAAAAATATTTATTTAAAAAAAATATTTAAAACAAAAGTAGTAGAGTGTAAAAAAGCTATCAAATGTTGATATTTATTTAATCTTGGAATGACATAACGGATACCTAAAGTATATCACGTGAAAGTAGCCCAATCGGATTTATATCTCTTTTGTGTAAGTGCATATCAGCAGATAAAAACTTCAAGAATCGTCACATCCGTAACATTTAATGATTCCAAATCCTCTCTATTGTGTGTGTGTGTGTCAGCAGAGAGGGTTTGGAGTCATAAATATTACGGGAATGGCAACCATGTGGAATACTTATCTTTGCTGGCACACGCACATACAAAAGAAGTGTAAATCCAACTACGAGATGGGTTACATCTACATCTTAAATAATGCTAATGCTTGCGATAATAAAACTTTGAAGACTCATAACTTTGAAAGTTCTCATCGGAAAAAGATTTATTATTTATAAGTTTTAGAAACATTTCAACATATAAGGATATACTATGAAAAATAGGAGTTTAGATTTAAGACTTTTATGTTTACCTTGACAACGCTTCTCAAGGTCATCCTAAGGTCAAATAAATATCAACATTTGATAATTTTTTTTAAACTTTATTAACTATTTTTTTAAACTCTACTATTATTGTTTTTTTCAAGCATTTTTAAATAAATCAATATTTTCTGAGATAATTAGTCGCTCTGCAACTTTTGGCGGGTTTTGTATAAAATAATTTTTACTCCATTCTATTTTCTGTTGACAGTTCTCCTTTTTTTTTTCTTCATTTCATTGAATAATAGGTGTTTTTTTAGTAACAACGACAATTCCTTACCTTGGCCATTTTCTCAAAATATTGTCGTTCCGCTTTGTCGTAGGATGGCTTGTCAAGCCATATCTTTTCTTGAGCCAGCGCAACAGTTACCACTGTAGCAGTCGCCATTTTTTTGTTACTTTATTTATGAAGCAAAAACGATATGAATTTCTGTAAAAACAAAAACGAAACAAGCATGAGGGAAAGAGAGCAATGTACATGTAAATGTTCTACAAGTTATTTCTTTTTTGTATTGCTTAAGAACGGTTTCAGGAACAAGAATATTAAAAGATAAATTGGTAAAAATTTGACATTATATATAATATATATAATATATAATATATTATATATAATTTATTATATATTTATTGTATATATAAATTATACAAGATTATTTTTTATAATAAGTAACTATATATAACTATATATCTGATAATACAGGATTTATTAAAATTTAAGAATAAAAACAAGATATATATTATATCAGTCAATACTGAAGATTTTATCACGCATATAACTATCGAATTATATTAGTAATCGTCAGCCCAAGATTTATCTATATCTTTGTGCTTCAGAACTTGCAATATATATTTCTCATTGTCCTTAACTATATCTTTTTTCTCTTCCTTCGGCTTTCTTTTGATTTCTTCTAGTAAATAATATATTTTGTGTTCTAAACCGTCTGGACAAACGCAAGGAAATATTTTTTCCGGATTAAAATATTGTATAAATGCTTTAAGCTCATTAAAGGAAGAATGCATGGAGTAACATAGATTAAATGTTCTTTTCCTAACATTATCCCATGCTCCTATTACGCTCGTATCTTTTCCTTTCCATTTAAATGTAGATGGTACAATAGTCAGTATATTCTTTTTAAAAATGTCAGGGCAACACTTTAAACCCTTTAAATATAAACATTCCTTTTTGCTCATGCAAGCGTGTATGGGTGTAGCGTTTTGATCAATTGTAACGTGATATTTCAAGTCTGGGATATGACAATAATTAGGATATACGTTGCTCTTTACATGAATAGGTTTTCTAAAAAATTTTGACAACTCCATGAAAAGAAATTCGGAGCCATACGTAGCGGAACATTCCAGAATAACAACATTCCTTGGGCCTTGCGCTAGCCATTGCTTAATAACGTTACACATCGTAGTTATAACATCCGTTCTTGTCGGAAATGTAGCAAAATTAGGATCCAAAAATGTTGTGTCCAAATATATTTTTGTCAGCTTCTTTGGTAATAACTCGGAACCACTACGAAAATGCAAAGGTGCGAGATTTGGAAAGTCCGCCGGATTGATTCTAAAGTCTCCGGTATACAATATTAATTTATCAGCCTTTTCAAAAAGAAACATCATGGAGCCAAGACAATGTCCAGCGTAAATACACGTTACAAAAAGAACATCAGCAGCTCCGTTTTTATTTCTATATTCCACGTAAACTCTTTTATTAAAAGCAATATCTTTGATACAGTTCTCTGGATAAACATTACTTAAAAAATCTTTACTGATGCGACTGCAATAAAGATATTTGTTGAATCGTTGTAAATGTGCAAAAAACTCATCATTTAATCCATGCATATGATCTGTGTGACAATGACTAAGAAAATACGCAGAGGAGTCTAAGTTTTCTCCATCAAAACGGTCCACCGAGATGCCTGGTATCTCCTCAATAAACCCAAGGAACGTTGACATCTTATTCTGATATCTAATACTTTCCTGCAATGAAGAATTTAGACATCAACTAGACTTATCTAATAACATATTTACATATTACATTATTACGTAATATTTTTATTATACAGAATGTTTCAGACTCTTCTCCGCAATTTTTGTGGAATCATAGAGCGGATTGAGCTAAACATAAAAATCATGTACCGTTTTGCAATATTTACAATAGTCGAGATATTAATTAAAGAAAATTAGTGAATGATGATGCATGATATGGTAGGTAAACTGTAGTAGCGCCGTTTGCCATTATATACTTATACATTAGATCAAACTGAACAAGAAAGTCATGTACCATTTTGCAAATGACCACATAGATTTTCAGATATTAATTAAAAAAATTTGTGCATTATCGCGCACAATCATGTAACAATTTTCTTTCATTAATAATCTAAAAATCTACACGGTTATTTGCAAAATGATAACAGGCTGCAATGATAACTCTTTTATTCAATTTGACTTAATGTACAAGTACATAACAGCACACTATAGCTCATCGCCACTATAGCTCATCTAGCATACCGCACGTAATCATTCACCAATCTTTTTTAATTAATATCTCAAGATTTAGTGCGAATATTGCAAAAGTATAGGACTTTTATGTTCACTTCAATCCGTTCTACATTCCCACAAAAATTGCGAAGGAGAGTTTGGGATATTCTGTATTCTAAACACAAATGAGACATTTAATTGAGAAGCGATAACTTACATCAAGTAAATCCTTTTAAGGGTACCGTCCACTCTGAAAGGTCAAAATTTTCAATCTTTTTTTTTTATTTTTTCAAAAAACAACTATTTAAGAATATTTACTGAAAATTTAAATGCGACTTCTCGAAAATTCTCGAAGTTACAGTGCAGTTTGAGTGATTTAGTTCCGAGACACGATTTGGAGTTCGCACACACACGACTGACGTATAGTATATCTGAACTCACTTATCCTCGAATAGAAAAATGAGGACTATTAACAAATATTTTCAGAAGTCTAAATTGGTTCCCCCTTCATCATTGTACATACATATATATGAATAGGCATGAATAGATGTGTGAATGTGTATGTGAAGGACACACGTGCGTGCAGATTTAAAGCTAGCTACAAATTGCAACGTACTTATCGGCAAGCATATTCAATAAAGGATATTACACTATTTTAAGTTATGACACTCGTGGGCATCTGTATCAGACATAAATATAAAGCAGTCGCTAATGCGATGGATGGACAACGCATTGATTAAATGCATCGCGCAAGTATAAAACGGCCGAAAACGAGTACTGGGATAAACGAATACAGGGCAGCGCAACTTGATGATTATGAAGAAGAGCTCTTTTTGGACCAGGAATAGCCGAATAAACCAAATCTATTTATATGCCTACACAACAGACATAATCAAAGCAAAAACTTTCGCGTTTTTCTCAAAACATGTTTTCTCGGGCTTGCTGACAGTATACAGAGAAAACGGTTCAACGCAATAACTTGCGCGTATGACAGCATATTTAGAACTATTTTCTTTGTATGCTAAACTTCATAAACTGAGCAATTTGTGAAATCTGAAATTTATTTTGGACAATTGAAGTCGAAAAATAATGGTGCGGAATTGCATTTTATTATTTAAACAAGCACAATTTTATCAATTCGTACTTTTTCCATTTTCGTGAAGTTTAGTGTATGTACTTATCCTTATTAATTATAAATCATTTTGGCGTTTGTGTTTCAGACAACTGATGTTGGTTGTATAATGTCAGCAGTTTGACAAAAACGACGTGAACATATCTGCTGCCGATGTGAATATCTCGACCATTTTTTATGATTTTCTTCTACAAATATGCGTGGATATGCATGAAAGTATAGATAAACGATATGTATAAATGCGACATTGCTAGCACTAACCATTTTTCCATAAAAAATTCATGAAAATCTGTCATTTTTTGGCGCTCGAGAGTGGGTGGTATCCTTAAAACATTTCGTCGGCATATTATCGTAATGTTTTTAACCCTCAGGCACCGCTTTACATTTGTTACTTTATTTCACTACACTAGGTGACCTAGATATGTGATCCGGAGTTCTTGTTGTGCTTATATCTCGGGATTTAATGCACCGACTTTGAACACTTTTTTTAATCGATATCGACGCCAGATATTAAGAAAAAAGGATATTATTGAAAATGTCACAAAACTCGAAATATCTTGAAAAAAAAAAAACAGAAAAAGATTTCTAGTAATTACGAAAGACTTTTCTTTTATAAAAATTATAAAATTGTTCCAAAGACAGATACGAGCGTTTCAATATATAGAAATCTAAAAGATTTGACTTAAATTTTTTGAAAAAAATATGTTATGTTTAGCTTTAAAAAGAATAATTATTTTACGAGACAATGTTGAGTAATTTTAGACTTTTATCATATGAACTGCCAATGTGAAATATCTTATTTTCCTTTAAAAATAATAAAATAATAAATACAATAAAATTGTGACAAAAAAATATATAATTAATCTACATAAACTATAAAAAAACAATACATTATTTCTATATAGAAGATGCATTAAACAATTTTATTTTCGAAACATTTAACAATTGCGATATTTTTGCGATGCATTGTATGTACAGTTTATAGTTTTAAAAATACTGTACATTTTACAAATAATTTATTTACAATGATAAAATAATATTTATTTAGAGATATATAAATCCCCCCTCAAACCGTGAGCCATAATTCCTTACCATTTAGAAATGACACACGTTTTATTTTGGCTTGGATGTAACCCAAAGCGGTGTTTGAGGGTTTAACATAAATATTTTAATGTAATATAAGTAGATAAGGAATTAGAGATTTATACATAAATGTTATACATAAAAAGACACATAAGTGTTATAGAAAAAAAAATCTAAAATTTCACCTATTTATTTGGTACTTAATATGATTATCAACTTATCGATATAAACATGTATTTTAACATATTGCGTATAGATCTCGAGATATCTCATGTACACGAGGTATTTCACTTATGCACTTCCTTATTATCGCACACTGATAGTGAATGCTAAGAGAATAAAATCAAAATCCATATTTTAAATTCTCTTTCATCGCTAAAAGTATCTTTAAAAGTCATTTATAAAATACTTTTAAAGACACTTTTAGCGATGAAAAGGAGTTCAGAACATGGGCCCAAGTATATACCTTTACAACGTAAAGGTTCGCGTCAGTTTTTTTAATTTTTTGTGATCATAGCACATTGTTACATGGGTATTCTACTGAGGCCCTATTACACGGGTGTATATCAGTTGGGCACGGGGCAATTGGACACAGTCCAATCACAAGTCGCTGTTCCAAGGGACCTTACAAATGTCTCTAATCACACGGTGCTGTGATTGGCTGTGTCCAAATGCACCGTGTCCAAGTGCACCGCTCCCCTATTACACTAGTCAATACAAAAACTAAACTATCAATTCCAATTAATTTAGTAATATTGATTGCAAACATAATCGTTTCTTTAAAAGTTATGTTTCTTTTTCAAGCTAGTATGTACAGCAGTTCTATAAGCATTTGTAAATAAGACATGTATTTTAATTTTTTATAGAACGATGAAGGTCCCGAATTTTACTTCTACGTTATAACTATCTTTATTTTGAGAACATTAAAGCTTCTGATCAGCTGAAAACTCTCCACGTTAATGGTAACGGTAAACGACAAAACTAACGACATGACTGTAAACGGCAAAATGATGAATCATTACAAAGTGCAGACTATTGCAATAAGTTAGAGTGAAAGAAAATATTCTTGTTTCTTTCTAATTTATTATAAACTTATTACAAAACTAGTGCAAAGTTCATCGAAAACGAATAGATCTAATGATGTAAACAGACAACTAAATTTTTCCTGCGAACTACAGCGTTATTACTGAATGTAGTGCATATATATCATATGTGATACAATTATGAAAATGTGGAGATATCCCGGATACTATGCTTATTATGATAAGTGCTTAAAAGCCGTCTAATAATATAACATTTAAAAAAAATTTTAGAGAAATTTTTGTGACAGTGCCTGCGTTGCGATATTCACACTGCCAGTATTAAAAATCTATAGTTTGTATTACAAATACAACAGATTTTTAGCACTGACAGTGATTATTGGAACACAGCCAGTATGAAACATGAAAATAAAAAATTTTAGTAAAAAATATACTTTGTTGTTTTATTTTTATATGTTAGGCCAAGGGTCAGCACATTTTGCCCATTTTGGCCGACTCTCGGGAGCTACGCCTTCTATTTCCCCCTTGCCGCGCGGTGGGCCAAGAAAGTGACGGTCGCGACCAGTCGCGGCTCCAAGCTTACAAGGGGAACTCGGCAGTCTCTGATCATCGATTTTAATAAAACTTTATGTGTAGTATTCACTCATACATTAATTACAGTAAAGCCGCAGGACCCACTATTCAGTCATTCTCGAGAAAATGGCAATAAAAAAAATAAGGATTTTCAGTACGTATAAGTATCGTTACGGAAGAACAATTGTCGAGTTAGCGGCGTAACGTCTCTGGTAAGACGTTGACTACTACGCTCGGGGTCCCAGGTTCGATCCCCGAAAACGAGATTTTTTTTCATTTAAATTTTATATTTTCAAATTGTTATATACAATTTTTTAATCGTTTTTAATTATTTAATATAAAATCTGTTATTTTTTTTTAACCCAGAAAATTAAAGAATTCAAGGAATTTAAAAATTCCTTCTTTTATTATTAATCAAATTAAAATTTCTCATAAACACAAAAAATTGCAATAACAATTTACAATGACTGTTTTACAATAAGTTTACAGCTTTTAGGGTGGTATTTATCATAAAAACAATTAAAACATAATGGTTCGTTGCACCATGCACATAAAATCATTGACATTTCATACGCAGTCTGTACATTTTGTTTTATTAATAGAATCTGGAAAACAAACTTCGTTAACGTTTTTAAAGACTTCTTTCATTTGTTATTTTAGATGCAAACCATGTATATTTTAACATGTCACAAAAGATTGGTGCGCTTAATTGATTGTGAATTAAAGATTGTATTTTAATAGCATCCTCACGATTGACTATTTCTCTATTGCTTTTAAGGAGATATGTACAATTTTGTAATTTTTTAATGAGATTTTTAACTTGTCTATAAAAATATACGTCGCATGGCTGGCATAAAGGAGTACACTTTGACGGAATAATTTTTATTTGACAAGATGGAATATCCTCATCATTTACAAAAATTTCATCGTATGTTTGTGAATTTGTTTGACCACCCCAAGAATCTATTAATAAGAACTTCATTTTTTACATTAGCTGTAATATTTCTTTTAAGAAGTCTTTATAAATATTTGTAGTTAACTTTCCTGATCTAGAACATTTGACGGTAACGTTTCCAAATTCAACAACAAGAGCATCAACTTGTTTTTGTATTATTGGACCAAATTTGTCTCCAGTTTCTTGTAAACAGAGAAATACTTTTGGTATAAGCTTTTTTGAACAAGTTAATGCGTTTTGGGCTGTGTATGAATGAGAAATTTTATGAAGACTTTTTTTTAACAAATACAAATTTCACGCCTTTCTGTGCTAATGTCCGATCAATCGTTGACTGATATTAACCAGTTTGATCTGCATTAATTATAAAATCTGGGTGAAAATTTTGCAAAAGTGGTTCAATTTGTTTTCTAAATCTATCTGCAGCAGCTAAAACTTCGTCCTACTTTTTTTTCAGTAACGTATTTAATAATCTGTCGTTGCCGAATATTATTTCTTCGTTTAAAATCATTAGCCCACGTTTTTCCTGCTAAAAATGTAAATGTGCTGGAAAGAAATTGTTGCGCAGCAGCCATCGCCCATTGTTGCAATGTTCTTGTTGTGACTTGCTCGAATTTTTCTCTAACTTCTTTAAATCGATCAAGTGTCCAAGAATTGATGGTAAACAGATTATCAAATCGCGTCCCACCAGATAATACATCTTTTTCCCATCTAATAACAAAAAAAAAAAGCATTATAACTATTTAATCAATAGAATTTTATACATAACATAACATATACATAATGTACATAATGTGTTTAATACATAATACATAATATAACATAATAAATAAAATGTGTTAAAAGCATTGTATACGTACTGTTTTAAATCGCTTTTATATTTTAAACAATGCTCCTTTTCTCTGTAATGTTTGTAGCGACCAATTAGAATGTTCTTTCGTCATGGTTACAACTTTCCGTTTGTAATCTAAATCTATTGATTTGAATTTTTTTTCTTTGAAGAATCGATCCACTCTTCCGAAAGTGCGGATGAATGTTATGATGACGATTCTTCTGTTGATGCACATATTGATGCACAATCAATAAAACTGTCATCAATATTTTTTTCAGATGAAAGCACTAGTTCTTCCTCAACGAGACGCATCTCATTAACCATATCGACTATGCGGTTATATATTTCGTGGCCCATAACTATTGCCTTTTCTGATGAAAGTTCTTTCACGGACTCCTTTGGAATGTAATCATTTTTAGCAAGCAACTTCTCGCTTATGTTTAGAGCACTTTTTAAGAACAATTTATTATCAACATCTTGATGCTCTTCTTCTTTCACACTAGCGCTCGTTGACAGTCCCAAAATATCCATATTACAAATAAATAAAGCACGAATATATTTTGCAAAATATAAGAAGCACGTCTAACTCGAAGGACGACTGCGTTGCTACTACCTTTTCCGTTAAACGAGAAGTTTTGTATACCTGCTAAGGTCTCGAACAAAAGAACAAAACCGTTTTACTTGGGGATCGTTATGGATATAACGATTTATACGACGTTCTTAAAACAGTCATTGTAAATTGTTATTGCAATTTTTTGTATTCATGAGAAATTTTAATTTGATTAATAATAAAAGAGCATTTTTAAATTCCTTGAATTCTTTAATTTCCTGGATTTAAAAAAAATAACAGATTTTATATTAAATAATTAAAAACGATTAAAAAATTGTATATAACAATTTGAAAATATAAAATTTAAATGAAAAAAAATCTCGTTTTCGGGGATCGAACCTGGAACCCCGAGTGTAGTAGTCAACGTCTTATCAGAGACACTACGCCGCTAACTCGACAATTGTTCTTCCGTAACGATACTTATATGTACTGGAAATACCCTTATTTTTTTTATTGCCATTTTCTCGAGAATGGCTGAATAGTGGGTCCTGCGGCTTTACTGTAATTAATGTATGAGTGAATACTACACACCCATAAAGTTTTATTAAAATCGATGATCAGAGACTGCCGAGTTCCCCTTGTTAGAGGCACAACCGTCACTTGCGAGACCCGCTGCGTGGCAAAGGAGAGATAAAAGGCGTAGTTCCCGAAATCGGCAAAATCGGCCGAAATGGGCAAAATGTGGCGGGCCCTGTGTTAGGCTATTAATTTACAAAAATTAAAATGTAGCTTTTATTTCATGGACTAAAGCCAAGTAACTTTTTTTCAGAGTCATTTATGTTTTAACACATAAATACGATTATAAGCAAAAAAAATAAAAATTCAAAAAGAATACAAATTGTTATACAAAATTTGTTGATCAGTGTTACAAAATATTTCGGTTCAGAAACACGAAATTGCAATTTGCGAGTTTTCGACCGCGATTCTGTTCATATTTTTACGCTATTATAAATTCTGAACGGAATTATCTTTCTATGCGTTTTAGTGAACAAAAAGATAAACAAGAGAAATAAGTAGAATCTCAACAACCAAACGATTAACTAATCAAAAGTTCAAATCACAATTATATATTAATTAAAACTAAGTAAAAGTTTTGTTTAAAATATAACTAAATTAAAAGTAATATAATGCCAATAAGAGCCATTCGCTGGATGTTATTGCAAATAATTAATTAATAGAAAGGTATTATATACACTGAGAAAAAATGTATTAAATTTCAAAAAATTAAAATAAATACGCAATTGAGACCTTAAAATAAGAGAAGAATTAATTAAATTATTATAATTAGGATTCAGTCGAATTTGACATAGAAGGTTTGATTCATTTAGTTTGTTTAAATATGACATTTGTTTAAATTAAGCATTTATTTTCTAAAATTAAAGAAGTTTTAAATATAAATTCCTTTCTTTGATTTTAGAAAATAATTACTTAATTTAAACAAATATGTTCACAGTCGTATTCAAGCAAACACTTTTTTAAATTAAGTAAATTTTTTACTCAGTGTACATTGCTTAACAGTGTCAGACGCATGCATCGAACATTTTTTGGTCTTTTAACGTACGAAATGAATCAAACCTTCCACGTCAAATTCGACTGAATCCCAATTATAATAATTTAATTAATTCTCTTATTTTAAGGTCTCAATTGCGTATTTATTTTGATTTCTAAAGTTGCAGAAAATACTGCCTCAGCCAAAAATCGAACCAGAATCTCCTCACTTACCAGGCTGGATGTCGTACATATACAGCCACTGAGACTCCAATAATATTCCTCGTAACTTAAATGTTTATATGTTTATATCGTGAAATCAGTGACTTGGGCCAATCACAGGAACTATAAGTCAAATTATTAGAAAATACATTAAATTATATATGGTAATAATTTCCTGCCTTTTTTGCTTCTACAATTTATTTCTTTGCACTAGCTTTAAAAGAACATTACTTAAAAAAATCAATTACAAAAAACAAATCACAGGTAGTTAGATAGCTTGATATTAAGCTGTATAGCCAATAAAAAAGTTGTGTACATACAAATCAAAGCAAAAAATCAATAATCCTCAAATTATTTGCTATTCCTTTGCTACTATTTACATAAAAAAGAAATTATTTTTTCTAATTATTTAGTAAGTACACAAGGTTAAAGAGTTTAAAAATAATATAAAAAATGGATTATGTGTATGTAAAAATCAGATTTTTTAAAAATTATTTACTATATTGTTATTAGTATTTTCATAAGAAAGCTTGAAACGTAAAGATAGTACAAAGTAATAAAACTGAAATGCGACTCTTAATAATAAAGTGCATTAAAAAAATTAGTTACTCGCATGAGAGAGAGAGAGAGAGAGAGAGAGAGAGAGAGAGAGAGAGAGAGAGA